GAGACAAATCCAACAAATCAAAAACCATGAAAATTGGTCCAGCAGATCTCGAGTTATAAGTGTAGGAACACTTTTACACAACTTTCTTTTATATATATAGATTAACTTTAGTTAGTCTTGGGTAACTGTAATTCAGATTCGAAATCTATCGACAGAAAATTCAAGCTCAAGCTCATTAGGGAGCATGTATTGTGTGCATGGACAAGTACAGCTATGCATATGCGAATTAAACGTCATCTGAGCAATCCCCATCGACAATCATCGTCATCTAATATGAATGCCGCACTCAGCTGTGAAAGCACAAGGAGGACGCCTTAGCGTCTTATGGGGTAGCCAAGTGGCCAACTGGCCAAGTGTGCTGACGGTGTTTCAGTTGCCGAAAAAGTAAAAGGAATGGCACATTTTCACACCAATCTAGAGCCGCCACAAACTACGAGCAACACATAGACTGTGTAATAGGACAGTGACACGGCCCTAAATATTACTCATACGACTTGTGGTGCAGCTCTTTGCGATTTCATAAAGGATAGTCGGAGCTACGCTAATTTCCAAGTTGCGTGCAGACATTTTTCGTAGTACTCGTAAAAAATCAGCTAAAAAAACAACGATTAAGTGCAAATTACGCCATCCTGCAAAGTAAATTTTCCAACCATTCACATTTGCATTAATTTCCCAAATGCTGCCGCCCGGAGAGCGGCAACAAAATAATAGATATTATAGATTGCCGTGAGTAGGGTACTACACTTACCTTACTTTATTCCAGGGCACACACGGACACATGTAGAGGCGCGAAGAGGCTAAGATGGACACTCCTTCACTGCTGTTATATCACATTCGGCGCACGGAGCAAGAAGAGGCCAGAGGACGTTAACGTCAGGAAGTCTGACGACTCCGAAGTTGTCTGCAGCTGTGGACACCGTACAGAGCTTTGATTTTGAATACAATTTTGTTGTTGTTGAGTAGTTTTGCTGCTGAATTGTGCAGCTCTGCCTCGAGTAGAACGGAGCAGGCAACTTTGATAATTGTTTTTTAAAATTATTTGCTTCGCTTGAAGTGTCTCGCTCTTACAGATGGAAAAAAATAGTGCGTATCGGAAGGACGCGAGTGGCAGCGAAAATACCAGCGAGCCAACAGAAAAGCTACAACAAAATAAAAAAGTCCAACCGCAACAACGGCGCGAGAATGAATCTTAAAGAAATGTCAAGCCCCAATTAGCCGAAGCGTTAAAGCACCTCGAACGCGGCTAGCAGACTGAGACAAAATGTAAACCCAACCAAGAGCTGGACTCTATACAAAATGAGCGAACAGCCGGAGCCGAGAGACATGAATGAAGCACTAGAGCCTGAGCATGCGCAGTGCATATCAGAAACAAGCGCGCCAACTGAAAGCACTCGACACAACTCTCACTCAACTTATAATTGCTCTCTTTTACAAGGTTATATAATCACTAACAAAGGACTAGAACGAGAGAGAGACAAACCGAAAAGGGGAGGGAGGCAGAGAGCGAAATAGAGCGACTGAGTGAAAGAAATCGTTCGGTCAATCGAAAGGTCGCTAAATGTGCAATCATGATGCCTAGTTATAGTTGACGACTCATCGTAGCTACCTGATTTAAGGAGTTTTTATTATTTTTTTTAAGCATTCAGCTAGCTAAAAATGGTTATACCCGCATACAATATGTACATAAATACATACATGTGTATATTTGGGGATGTAATTGCAATTAAATATACATACATATGTACATATGTATGTATGTATAATTGTAGGCGCATCTGATTGGAGATAACTGCATATTATACCTACATGGTTCTATAGGTATTTAAAGGTGTGCAATATTTAAATATGAATTATTTCACTCTACATACATATGTACGTATGTAGTATATGCCCAGCTGCCACTGGTGTGGATCTCAGTGTTGTAGCTGTTGCCCACGCCTGAATTTATTTGGAAAATACATCGAACGCAAATAGCGGCAGCGCGGCATGCCACGGCACGATTTTATGTGGGCGCTCTAGTGACCAAGCGAAATATACGTACATACATATGTACATACATATGTATACTATATACTTTTACACACTTATAGATCTTATACGACCTCATGAAATATGCCTTTGCATGGAATGCGACAACCTCTGACGCATCACTGTAGCCCAGAACAAACTGTAAACAGCTGGTCAAAATACAGTTCAATAGTAACTATGGGAAGGGCCATACATGCATGGATTAGTTAATATCGATGAGCGGGCTGATCGATTGGTCGATTAATGTCTTTCGTGTATGTCAGTGCTTTTGACAGCTGCATCGAACATACATGTGAAAATCCTTCAAGTATAGCTGGAAATGTGCATTGTGAATTACATTTGGTAAACTTGGTAAACTTTATATGTACATATGTACTCAACATACATACATACATACATATATAAATCTTATTTCGTATGTTCTGAGCTGGTTCGGAAGCCATGCGACTGTCACTGCTGCTCATTGTCAGCCAACGGAATTTGCTCTCTCGAGCAGCATTTAGATACTCAGCTGATTATTATTGTGTAGTAGGCATTGCTGGCACTGGCTATTAATAAATCTGATGTGTGTGAATTGAGCTCCCAACTCAAATGGCTCACGATCGGCGCAGAGAGCAGAGACAAAAATTAAGAAAGCGATGGAGAGAGAAAGACGGGGAGAGAATGTAAAATATAAAGAAAATCACTGTAGATTTCAGTTTGTAGGCACCGTGTTTTCACCATTCTAGGACTTAACTGTTATCCGATAAAGCGTCACATGCAAAGTTAACAATTCGCGTGCTAGCTTAACTTATCCATTGAGTCAATATGAGAGAGCACTCTTAATGTAAGAAAGAGAGAGCGAGTGGGGGAGACTTTGCGGTGGCCAAAGCTAGCACAAGGCAATCGTAAAGCGAGCGAACGAACGAACGAAAAAGTTGTGTTCAGTCGACGAGCAACATTTGCTGCGAGCAGTGGTCGTAAACGTAAATTTCTAGACTAACGGAAGAGTGCCTTACGTGGTTTGTGCGTGTGTGTGCGTTCAGCAGCAATGTGCAAAAATATTTGTATCTATAGGTGTTGTATATTTAAATTGAATATATAAATAAAAGCATCATTCTGAGCGGACATAAGATATAGCCACAGTGAGAGAGAGCGCGTGACTACGTAGAGAGAACTTGATTTGGTCAACGGAAGTACGTAAGAGCAAAAAGTGTCGAAATTGCATTTGTGTGCGTGTGCTTAACGCTGAACGCTAAACAGCTGCCGTGGCTGTTAGAAAGTGTAGTCAAAGAGTGACATCACGTCAGCCATTACGGTTACTATTGCGAGGAGGATACGTAGCAATTAGCAATCTGTTTCATTGTTGTCGAAAAGCCGCCGAGCTAATCCCAACAGCAAGCGGAGCTGTCGAAAAGCCATACAAGCAATTGCGGCTAATTTGAAAATCGAATCAGACACAAGGGGTCAGCCGGCTGCAGAACGTACTAGAATTAACGGGCAAGCACATTGTCGCTCTCAAGGTGAACGACAGTGGCAGCAACAGTAGCAGCCACAGTAACAGCAGAGGCAGGGCCAAAGCCAGAAGCAGAAGCAGCAGTAGCAAAAAAACTCAATTCAATTTATTTCGAAATTAGTCGCAGCGCTTCGAGACGGAAACAGAAAGTGACGAAAAGAGACGCTTGTGGCAGCCAAAATGAAGCCGACTGTGATAGCAGCAAATCAAGCTAGCGCAGGCAGCGCAGCCGGTGGTAACAGCGGCGGCAGCAACGGCAGCGACAATGGAGCACCCGCAGGGGCCGGCATCAACATACCCATCAGCCGTGAGTACGTTGGGATTGGAGGGGAGCACAGCGCCTCGCCTCAGCAGCACTATGCCCAGCAGCGTGCGCCGCCGCAGTTTTACAACAGCCAGTCAGCGTACGGATCACCGCGACAGCAGCAGGTTCCTCCAAATCAGCCACAGCAACATTTTCAGGTGAGTGACTGGCTAAAAAGTCAATGGCGCCAGCAACAGAGACAGCTACAGCGCCAAGGTCGTCTCTCTGCCTGCTTGCATATATGTATGTACATCTCTGTATGTAGACTCGTAATTTGGCGCCCGACAAGGTCGCCTTTGTATTGTTGTTGCTGTTATTGTTATTGTTGCTGTTGCTCTTGCTTTGTATTTGGCGATGGAAATTTAATTAGCTAGTTCTCGCCGAATGCACAAAAGTACTCAAAATAAGCCTCGTAACGCACTTGGAGAATATACAGAGAAGCGTTACATGCTAATATATATATGCATCTATGTATGTGTTTATCACAGACAGGTATATATGTATGTCGGTACGTGAATTGATGACCGTTAACGGCGCCTTAGAACAATATGGAATTTAAGCTTGCAGCAGCAGCGCGGTTTCATTTGGAGATCTTGCTGCTTGGCAATCTAATCTAATTATCACACTCACAAATGTGAGAGTGATTAAAACAATTGTTTTATATGAACAAAAAGAAACGACCACATCGATTGCAATTCGATTTTTGCTCGTTAAATATATTTCTAGAAAGTACACTATGATAGACAAACGCAAATGTTATCCCCACTTGTAGAGAAACACCGATAGAGATACAGAGGAAGAGAGAGGTGAGCGCGAGAGAGATTTCGCTGTTGTCAAACGCTGAATTTTATTTGATTTCTGACTCTATCGTCGCTGTAGCTGTGACTGTGCATTAACTTGCTTACATATTTACAGACAAAACACCTCACATACGCATACATATGCGCACTGATGAATGTGGGTGGGTAGATATATATGCATGTCTATACATAAGTCCATGTGTATGTATGTACATTCGGACGTATACATAATACGCCGCGTAGGCGACGACAGCTCACAAAATAAAATAATTTTCGCTCATCTTGTTGGCCAAGTTAAAGGGGCCGAAACGGCCATCATGCGTATGTGATGGGAGAGGCACTTCGACTATCTTGAATTGTATAAACACATCTTTGTCAATTACAAAAAACTGTTTACCGAAATCTACAACATTTCTCGCTTTGGTTCCGTCGGACATGACTTACTTCTATTTTGGTTGTAGAAACAAGTAAACACGTATTGTACTCGGTACTGCCTGACTAGGAGATGTTCTGAACTTGCCTGCAAGCATATACTTCTATTATTATACGTCAGAATGTTGCAATCGGGCGTTGTTAACTTCTTAAATTTAATCCGCCAAAGCTTATTGGCCTTTTGAGGTCAGCCCGAGCATATATACCAAATTTTAGGTCACTAGCATCAATGGTGTCCAAAATGTAGCAGAATTTGAAAAATCACTATATCTTCAGGTCTTTATAGAATTATATCATTAGCTTACTTTCCGAGTTTTAACGTTCTAGCTTTAAAACTACAGTTTTATCCGATTCGCAATTTTATTTCGACGAAAATAATTAATAAATTAAGTGATTAAGTATTCAATGGTCAACAGAATTATGTATGTATGTATATATTTAAAATTCTAAAGTACCTAACATCTGAACATGGCCTATATTGACTCAAATCGACGAGGTGAGGCTAATATGTAATATTACAGCAATAAAGAAAGGAATTTTTATAATTATTGTAAGATATAAATAATGAGCTTAGCAATTGCTATTACTAATACAAAAGCTTAGCAATTGCTATTACTAATATAAAAGCCAATATATGTATATACATACATATGTTGGCTTTTATATTGTATGTACGAGTAAGTGCAATACGCACACGACTATATGTATGTGTGTATGTACATATATCTAAATACATAGTTTGCATAGCCCTACAGTATTTGAAGACTATCGAATCGCTTGAACTTTACA